GTCTGTCTGTTTGTCTCGCTTTCACGCCAAAAAGAACGTAGACGCTGAGAAAGGCTACTTTTTAATGCGAAAAAGTATTGAAAGGGGAAAAGGCTATATGAGGATATCGTAATTTTTAAAGTCAGATCAATGAAATAGTTTTTCATTATTAATGTAACGTTATTATGTATATTACAATAAAATTTAACGAGAAAATATTATAATGATGTGATTTTACTACTATATCGTCCGTTAGTATAAACGTGTTGGCAACGTAGTATTAGCAAATGTAAGTAATATTACTCTTTATAATATTTTGAACTTGATAAATTCTAAACTCGTATATAATATCTTTAGGTATAAACCAGGTTATGTACTACTACTAGTATTGTTAGTGAGGGATAAAGTTGATGAACAAAAATAAAATAATATTCGTATTAAAAATATATTCATCTAATATTTTTGGCATTATAAGTTTCTTCCAAATTCTGACATGGGGTGTTATGTACCTACTACACATTAAAAGATAATTTTTGATATGTATGAAATGTATTTATACATTAAAATATAATTTTTGAAAGTAGAGAATGAAAGAAATGTATGTTACATTTATTTTTGAAACATGAAATGTATGAAAGAAATGTATGTATGTACCTACATTACGTTACATTACATTAAAATATAATGAAAAAATGTATGTACCTACATAAAAAGTTTTTTTACAAATTAATGTATGAAAAAAAATCTAATGCATTTTTGAAAGTATGAAAATGAAAGAAATGTATGTATGTACCTACATTAGAAGATAATTTTTGACATGTTTGTATGAAAGAAATGTATGTACCTACATTAAAATATAATTGAAATGTATGAGATGTATGAAAAAACTACATAAAAAGTTCATTTTTGAAATGTATGAAATGTATGAAAGAAATGTATGTACCTACATTAAAAGATAATTTTTGACATGTATGAAATGTATGAAAGAAATGTATGTACCTACATTAAAATATAAATATATGCACCGTGCAATAACAATACGTTAAACATCATACCACAGAGTCATAAAGTTAAAAACAAACTGCTATGATATATTAATGAGAAAGGAAAATCAACTTTATGGTATTCGAGTTAGGGTCGAGTTCTCTCTTTTTTTTAAATACTATTTTAATATTAACAGTTGCCAGTATTCGAAGACAGCTACGATTCGTACTCGATATTTTAAATTATTATGTAATCGATTTTTTACAAATGTAAATATATATTATATTCCGTTCTTTGAAACGGAACACTGCTATAATACAAAATAATGAAAATTTACTGTTCACAACGACTCATTAAAAGCATCATCGAATAATGCGCTGTAATAAAATCCTGTTATCGATTATTCAAAAAAATCGATAATACAAGTATTTATTTTTAATATGGCAACACTTCATACATAAGTATTATTGGAAATAGTATTACTTGCTTGTTCGGCTATTTTTAATTTACTTAAAAATTTTTTATATGTTTAATTTACAATAAATATAAAAAAGACATTTAATTAGGCCGATACAAATGACGACAATGCCATCTATGAAAGCATTTTGAAAACATTGAGCCCCATATTAGCATTGATTAAAGTGTAATTAATGGAAAATAACAAAATCAGTAAATATATGAAAAATCATTATTTCATTTTAACATGTATATATAACTTTTTAAAAATATATGAAAACACAGTTTTTTAAAACGTTTGCAAAAATATATGATACCAATCACGCCATCTATATGCAACTTTTAGCAATAATAATGGCTACTTCCTCATTGAGTGCCACTGGTATTAGTAACTCTCTATAGGTCTGATACATTTAATTTGACAAAGATGCGTAGACTATATTAAAATGTTTTTTTTACATATATTACAATTGTTATTTTATATTGTTATCACTTTACACTATTACTGTTTGTATCTACATTATAAGTGTTTACCACGTTTAACCTATGGGTAGACGAGAAAATAAAAGATGGCGTTAGAGTAGAATAGTAAAAAAACATAATTACTAATACATATACAATGACAATATCAATACTTCATCTACCATAATAGTCATAACAGTTTTTTCAATACCTTATATGTAAAATTCTCGTGTCAGATTTTTAGTTATACTCCTCCGAAATGGCTTGACCTATTTTTATGAAATTTTATATGCATATTCATTGTCTGAGGATCGGCTACTATCGGCTATCTTACCCCTAAGTGATAAGGGTTGACAACCCCTAACATTTTTTTTTATTTTTAGTATTTTTTTTATAATACATCATTAAAAAATACATACTACTCTAAATATTTCGCCCTTCTATCTCCAACTCCTATTTTTAATAAAGATTATAATTTATATGGCAAAGCAAAGTTCTGGTCAGCTAGTATTTTATAGAAAAAAATAATTTAATTAAGAATCTCATACTTTTGGTACACGTTTGAAAATTACAAGCCGACAATTTGCTTTTGCAATCTGTACAGAACTAATAGTTTACTAGAAGGTTACTCACAATACATACCTACACGTGGTAAAGGTAGCTATTAGGAGAATGATTGAATTAGGTCAAATACAACAAGAAGTATGCATTTTAAGCTTAACAAAGTGATGATTTGTATATTTAATAATAATATGAATAAATGCTGTCTGTGCATGGAAAATATATGAGTCAAGTTAATAAAACCCAAAATAGTGAATGTTTTTGTGTTTATCTGTGCGTTTATACGTGCTAATCGTAAAACTGTCTAACCGATTCGGTGCAGTTTTTAATGTAACCTATACTTAAAATTTCTGAATGTTTTCTTTTAGTTGATATATAAAGAAATGTCATTGACTATAGTTATTTCAAATACCACAACCGCCTGTACAAAGTCGCAGGCTCAGCTAGTAGGTACATACATATAGGAGAGAGCGAGATAAGCAAACTAGTAGATTTTAATTGTATAATAGACTAACCATATCTCCGACTACATCCCTATGGCAAGATATAATTGATTGATCGGAATCAACAATGGTATGATCTATACCTATTCAAATACATGCGTGTAAATAAGGGAGATCAATGATGATTACGATATGAGAGCAAAAGATGACACCGATGTAGTTGCAAATTCTTTGCTGACTTGTGTCATATCAAACCAAAATCATTTATTCTTGTAGGACATTTTAGCCGCTTATGAACCTCATTTTTTTTTTGTATTAATATTTTTTCTATAAAACGACGTAGTTATTATAAAAAACCACGAAAAGAAAAAAGACATATAAAACAGTTTGTAACACTACCTAAATGTTCATTATAATTTATTCTTACTGCAATTTAACTGCTATATTAATCTCGCTATATAGCATGCTACAGACAGAAAAAAGTAAGACTAAGGTATCCCAAGCAGCATCCTTTTTATAGGTAAAGTACAAATAATAATTACACCGAAATGAACAAAAAACAAACAAACTTTCATATTTTCAATGTTACCAGCATTAAGAATTTATAAAAAAAACTGTAATATCTAATACAATAAATTTCACTGTGAGCTTTTGTACATAATTTATGAATCTTATTCTGTTTTTCTTTAATTTACGAGTACAACCTAAAAGTTAATGAAAAACAGGCCGAAATTATTCCGTGAAAAAATACAATATAACTAGAAGTGATTTAAATTTTTATGAGCTGGTACCTATTATAGTTGTTATTGTATTACATTAATACGAAATAGAACAACGGAGGAAGCAATATCGATATATAGTTTAAAAGAATGTATAATGTGTATCATAAATTCACTTTATATATATTAGAACTTTATTGGTAATACATTCCACCTCAAACTTGTAATGAATGGTTATTGTTTAAGACTGTTTGAATCAAATAAATGTACATACAACAAAATAAGCAAAAATTACCTAAAAATTACTTACTGAATTTACAGATAGGAATATAGGTATACTGAAAATGATGACATGTCAGTCGAACCTAACTTTTTAATTTGTTTATTGAAAAAAAAAACAATAATGAAAATGAGGTTATTAAAAAAGCATTTCTAATAAAATTTAATATTCTAATTCCTTTGAAGAGTTACATTCTAAGGATTTAGGCTGTACTAGATACTGACATAACTATTAATTATTTAATTCAATTTTTTTTCTAATAATTGTAATGGCAAATAAGCTGAAAGCTCATGCGATGGTAAGCAGTCACCCTCGTCTACATATATGAACAGCACAACGGCCATCATGTCATCAGATGACACCATTAGATACCACTCATGCGTTGTCATTCCATCAAAGTTAGATGACACATTTATTAACCTTTAATTTTAACAATGTATTTTTTCTGTGGCAATGATATACCTACGTGTAAGAAATAGTAACCTTAAATGTTAGGTAACGATTACCAAAGTAGAACGCCGAGAAGAAGATTAATTCAGTGACTTTATTGTTGTTAAGTCCGGGATAATAAACTTGAAGTTGAAACCACTTCGCTTAATAGCACTCGAGATACTTTGAGAAGAGGACAGATAAGAGATTATCACAGATTATGTTATTTTTATACAGGAATAACATTTTCTTCGACAAACAAAAGTTGTATGTTATGTACATTATGAGTTCTAAACTATTATGAACTATGAAATATTACCACTTAATTAACAACTCGTCGTTATAACTAAAATAATGTACCTAAGTTCAAAAGACAGCCCAATAAATTAAAATAATAAAACTAAAATTAGAGTAAAATATAGTAAACTTTATTGCAAGTAAGTAATATTAAAGGGTACAACTCAGTAAAAAAAAATTAAGACAGTAAGAGTCAATTTTGGTCACAACTCAGCATAGCGTTCCAATGTTTATATTAATTTATGATAATTATTAAAAATTATGACAAATAATAATAATTTATATATATTTTGTATGTCGCCGTGTTCTATACATATATTACGTATTCATTCTATGTCTTTCGAGAAGAAAAAACAAAAATCCTGAAAAAATGCTACTTAATGCACCTACCTCGGCCGGTGATGCAGAGCCTGGTATCTTCAAGCAGAACATGAAGGGGGTGTTAACACGCTTCATAATATCACGAAAGTTAAGTGGCACGCCTCTGGGGCGTAGTAGTCTGAAGTAAGTGCCGAGTGACGATCCATGTGTTGCTAGAAATGTCCCGAATAGGCGCATAAAACCACCACCTGTGGACAAAATTGAAATATATGCAAAATATTCTCAACCTACAGAACATGCGGTTTTGTTATATATAACTAGCTACTCGCCACGGCTTCGCATGGGTGTCCTATCTATTAAACAAAACTGAGTTTTTAAATTAAGTATACATAGGGACGGACAGACAGCGACAGCAACTTTATTTTATACTATGTAGTGATTATCGAAATGGTAAACAAGCGAATTACCCACTTAATAGTAAGTGGTAAAGTCGCCTATGTACATGAATAGCACCATGCGTTGCCATTTTCCGCTGGATACGAATAGGATGGCATGCTTCCATACCATGTCATATACTTGCCTTATTCTACTGCCTTATATCACACTTCTGCAGCTGCTAACTGCTTTTAGGCGGAAATAAACTAGACATAGCTACCCCACACATACTTTTTTGTACAAATTCTACTTCGGTAATAAAATATAAAATATATATTTGCGACATATTAAAAGAAAATTATAAAGTAACTATCATTAACAAAATTGACGCTACTGATTATTTCTAGACAAATATAATGTGATTCTTTTGAGTTGGAGATAACGTAAAAATATCTAATGATTATTTATATTGTTTACCGGGTCTTAATATGAGTAATTTTATAGTAAATTAAGGTATTTATCACTTTCCACGTCTCGGCTAGGTTGCACTAGCCGTGGTCACGAGCCGAAAGTCAGCTTGTGACCACGTATCTCTTTCCGATAAATACCTTTATTTACCTTTTTACCAGTTAACTTATGTGTAATAAAGACGCAAGTTTAAAAATATCTAATGCTACTGATGTATCAAAAAAAGTGCATAAATATATAAATGTATCTGCGTTTAGAAATAGATGAATGATTTACCTTAGAATACTCGTATATACCATACGATCTTATCTGTTATGTAGATCTTTATTTTAACCTTAACAACATCAATTCAAACCTTGTAATAAAAATAACTTTAAAATGAATTAGATAATTCTATAAAATACAGGAAGAGGTAGTACCTTTGCTAGGAATGGTACCTTTGCTAGGAATGGGATATATATCACAGAAATAGCTAAGTATTGCTAAGTAATACGAATGTCTTTATAATCAAGAATAAGAGGTACCATATAGGTTATAATATATTTTGTAATACCACTGGTGCTATTTGTAATAGTAGAATCGATAGCACTTTCCATTTGGCAGTTTATAGTTTGATTGCCATTCCGTTACCGTTACAAAAGCAGGACGCATCAGATGAAGATGGCAAAGCCGGCCTATCAAACCTGAAGCTTTGAAATCGATGCATTCATTTGGGAGCTATGTTACCGGATCAGACAGTTTGATAAACATACAAAGGCCTTTAGAAGACCCTTGCTTTTGAATAGGAAAAGTTAAGTTAAAGTTACAAAGAGATAATGAGGTCATCAGAAAAATGGAAGTACTGTTTTTTTCCTTTCCTTGATGTCTGATAAAATAAGATAATAGAATCATGTTTAATTTATAACATTTAATGAACGGTATAACTCTATGTTTCTCAATTAATATGACGGTTTGGTGGCCCAGCGGTTTACTTACGATGGTCGCGGGTTCAATTCCCCGCACGGCACATACATTTGTATTCATGAGTATGAATGTTTGTATCGGTCTGGTTATTTTATAATTTGTATGTATAGGAAAAAATCTATGTATTTGTATCAGTTATCTAGTAGAAAGTAAAGTAAAACATAGGGGTGTTTTAGTTAACTAAAGCTTATGCTTTAGTTAACTTGGGTATAAATGGCGTTGCGTGCATCGTTCTGATATTATTCATTATTTATTTATTTAAAAATATTAATTAGTTTCAATGCGTATATATCCAGCATTATTCAATACCTTCTGCAATAACTATTTGTTTCGTAAATTAATTAATTGTAGAGTAATAAAACTTGATATGAAAAGATACAACGATCTTAATTGATTGATGATTGTTGTTGTTACAGATTTCAAATTAAAGTAAACAAGTAAAATTCGAAACGTCTATAGAGCAAAGCTAAATACTTAATATAACAATCACTCCCAAGAAATTTAGATTTTCATTAGCTTATAACGAAATTAGAGTCTGTTTTTTCTTTTTTTTCATGTGATTAGAATTGCAAAGGACAATTACCGTCCATCTGATGGACTATGGACAGAACTATGGATGCCTATGACAACAGGGGTGTCACTTCCGCATTGCCTACCCTTAATTAACTATTTATATTAGTTGTCTAGTACCCACAACACGAGTCCTGCTTAGCTCGGCACTAGATGGCGCTGTGTTAATTGTCCTTGAAATAAAAAGAACATCGTACAATGCAAGCTGGCACTTGAGCTTTGTCTCACGCTCACTTATGGCGGCTGCAATAAGTTTGAGAGAGAGATAGAGATATGTACTCAAGCAAATGAGTTTATACTTAGCCCACCTCAGTATTTACATCATAGAAACACTTTCGCAATAGTATAGAAAACGTTGTCAAGTATGACGCTAATAAACAGGGAGGGTGTACGTTAGGTCTAACGTTGAATCTCTAGTGACTCACCCTTGTCACGGCTGTCAAGGAACTTTACTCAATCAGCATTTCCGTCAAAATTGAGTTAATTTTGATTGGCATATTATAAGCAAAGCCACGTTTACTTTGTTAGAAAGTTTTGATTAGATTTTATCGTGTGGAAATAGAAATTTTAGTATCTAATCGTTATTAACACGTACGTGTTAAACTATTATTAAAATAATCTAAAATATTCATATAATCTATATATAAATACGAACATACGTTCAATGTAGGGACTGGTCTGCTCTTATCACTACGACTGATTTAATCTTATTGTATATTTATATTTGACCCAAAAAATTAGTGCTGGTTACTAGTTTGTATTCACACGTTTCGACTTGTAAATGTAAACTTACAAGGATTATTTAAAAGAGGAATACACAAGATTTCTTGCTCGTTCCTCTTGTGATGAGACAGCTTTCCGAAGGAACGGTAGATAAAAAAAATTGTTATGACTATTTAAAAGTGCTTAAATTAAGTTTATTTGAATAAGTTATTTTCTATTCTAATCTATTCTATTCTATATTATAAATCCATTCTAATATTATAAAGATTACGAGTGTTTGTTTGGCTTAACGACATATTATTAGGGACGCATCGCATCAGTATCTTGGCCGTCAAATATTTATGTTACATATGTGCGTGGTGCTTACCATCAAGTGAGCCGTATGCTTATTTTCTATTCCAGTTACAACAAAATAAATAAGGCGTGAAGTCTGATTACTTAGGCTCTAAAAATAAATTAAAATAAATTATAGAAAATTTCTAAAAATAAAGAATTTAATAAATTTATTTATTTATTTAATTTTAATGCACAAAAACAATGTATACACATGATTGACTAAATACCTTGCGGCGTCAACCATGCGTTGTGCAGATTGTTTCTTCGGTCCATCTAATTGTGAGTAGGTTGCCATTTACTACATCACTTATATATAAAACATATATTAATATCAAAATGATTAATTAGTTTAAGTTGCAAAGAGCATATGCAATGGATATCTGTTAGTAATAAAAATGAGATACTGGAAGTATGAAAGTTCGAAAAGAGTTCGAACTTTCGTGCGCATCGCAATTTTTTTCTCGCGGGTTTTTATCGCTTTTGCGAAGTCATAAACATATACAAACTTATATATGAATGAGCATTGATCATGTGCGATCTTTTTTCCTTATGGCCTTATATACATTTTATTTTGTTGCGAAAAAAATACGTACTTAATAATAATTCACATTGCGAAAACAAAACATAGAAATTAGAGTTTAAGTACCGAATTCGGTTCTTGTTGAGAGATTGTACTTAACATTAACTGGAAGCAATATGTATGAATATATCTACATACATACATATGGAATTTATTTCACAATACAATTCCATTTCTCAACATCAAAGATTATACATCCTTCCACAAAGCAATTTTCGTATATTTTGCTGAATAAAACAGTATACTGTTTGCGTTAGAGCTTTTCTGGATTAGGTATTTAATCGTAAATGTAATCTAATTGGTTTTACATTACAATTCACAGAGATAAAAAAAAATAAAACCCATTCTTTTATATCACAAAAGGTATATGTGAGAGGGTATAAAAACATAATACAATTGTTTTATCAAAAGATTTGTGAACTGAAAGGGTTCTGAGCCCTACAAAATTGTATTGGATATTACATTGTCCATATTTCAACATCAATATCTACTTAATTCAAGGTCCAGCAATAATAAACCACATTCGGGCGATGTACACTTGTAAATGTTTTTCCGACCTCGAAAACCCTTGATCCCAATCCAATCTTAAAAGCATTTTGATAGCATATCGATTCACTGTACGAGAATATAAATAATGCATTACCTAGGAATACTATAGCAGCTCAGTTATTCAACTCTTATTTTTATTTATCCTCTATTCAGGTGCTATCATCAAACGTAGGGGTTTGCTTCGGAAATTTAATACAGTGTATATACTCATAAAAGGATTATGTTACTTAAGCTACATATAAATAGTATATATAGCATAATTGAATATTTATTTTCATCCTCTAAATTCTATTATTATTATGCAAAAGTGTATCATTAAATGTCTGAACGGACCATAGTGAAAATTGCCTTGTAGAAGATCGCAATAGATATAAATAAATAAATAACACTGGACAATTAACACAGCGCCATCTAGTCCCACGGTAAGCAGAGCCTGTGTTAGGGGTACTAGATAACTGATAGAAATATTTATAATACTTTTATTTAATTTACATAATACACATATATACATACACACCCAGACCGATACAATCAATCATACTTATGAATACAAATGTTGCGAAGAATCGAATCTGCGATCATCGGAAGTACGGTAGTGTGCTAAATCGCTAGATCATCGAGAACCTCATAGGCTATATATTATCTAAATAAGCATTTTGTATGAATACAATTATAAAGAAATGC